CAGGCAAGTATGAGAGCAGCAATAATCCATACGGGAGCCCCGGGAAGCAAGGAAGGGATATAGCCGAATGATCACCGTCAACACTTGGGCTTGTGCTCAAGGGAAACCTGTGAATCGTCTCGAACTACGACTATGTTGTAATTGTAAGATTGTTAATACTTCATTGTATGACAATTTGGATCCGGATCTGCCGAGTTCGGGCCGATGGGAAAAAAAAAACTCGAGAAAAAGTCTCCAAGATCAGAAATCTCCCGGTAACTGTGCCAAGCGCCCAACACACTTTTAGTTGGTGCGCCACAACGATAATCCCCTATCGACGATAAATTTTGAACCTAGGTACCTTTTGTATAGTGCACACATACAAAAGGTACAAGAGATAGAAATTTCCTAAAATTCATCTGTCTCAACCCCTTAAGTACAACATAGTTAATGAGATTCTGTCTATAAATGATACAATGAAAGGTCCCAATTAATTTGGTGTTAAGGTAGGTATTCCGTGGATAAGCTATAATTAAAAAGCCAAAAAAAAAATAAAAAGTTTGATGTATAATCTTTAAAGAAGGTGCTTTTTTCAATGCTTCTCACACTTGTGTGTATATTTATTTTTTTCGTTACAACTAATCTCAGTGTTGAAACGATCTATCCTTGTTCTTATCTACTAGCACTCTTAATTCTCTTTTAGCAAGCTCAAGGGTTGGGAAAAATGGAGATTATGAGATTTGTGTCATCTGTACCTTTTGTATAGAGTAAGGGCGCGCCATAAAAGATGCCTAATTTCAAAATTTGTCGTTGATAGGGGATTGTCGTCGTGGCGCACCAACTAAGAGTGTGTTGGGCGCTTGGCACAGTTGATGGCTGAGGGAGAGACTCGGGTCCGGAACGAATGGCCCGAGAGCGGTGTGGCAGAACTGGAAGGCGGTCTCGGGGTTATGGAGGTCACATTGATATCCTCACCTTTCTATCCAGTCAGTAATCCTTGGCTCTATGGGCCCGTTCACTTGTTTCACTTGTTTCACCGTAAAAGCGGTGCACATACCCGAGGACGGCGTTTGAATCTGGATTGGTCTGATTATCTTCATCTGATAAGACAGATCAAAGGGTAGAAGTAGAAAGTGGCCTTATCTCCATGTCCAGAAAGGACTAGTTTCTACTTCGCACACTCCATTTGAAGGCTACGACGAAGTATTCATGAAATGCTCATCTCTGCATCGCGTCCTGCTGACTTTGGGTGGAGCTCCGCAAAGCATGTGACCATTATCTGCTTCTCCACTTCGTGCAAACTGAGCCTGTGGCGTCTGAACTGACTGCGTTTTCATCGGGGATCTAACGGGTTGGATAATGCCACATGCCTTGTGGTCTATTGAGTGAGGGGATTGGCATTTTGGACAGGGTGTTTTCCGGTACGATTTGATGCCCTTGGATGTCCCAGTATGATGTACCTACTAGTTCCAATATTACAACTAAGATAAAGGCCTAGGAAGACGATAAAACGCACAGTTTAAAAGAGAGAGCCGTTAATCTCGCGCACTTAAGTTCACTAGCTACAATCAGTCCCGGCTTTCTTGGTTGACTCCCACAAGGAAGAAAAGCGAAAGCACAAAAATCCCTGTAGAAGTTAGATATACAATTGAACCCTCGAATCTTCCTGTTTCCTTCCTTTTCTCCCTTTTATTCTCAATCGTTTCATCCGGGGCCTCTTGCAAAAAAGAGATCCTCCTCCCTTACAAGCCATGGGTGTCATCAATCCAACCAATGGTTGGAGAGACTTTTAAATCGTCAAGGATCTGCGCCCAACTCAAGAAAATGAGAAGACCAAAATCTATGTGGAGCTGAACACAGGGGATGTTGGCTTGATGACCTGGGTCGTACGGAGAAGGAGATTCGGGAACATCCGGACGAGGTCAGTGCAATGCTGCAGGTGGTGTGCATTCCTCTATCAATTCCAATGTTCTCTACTATGCCTATTCCAACTTCTAGAATACTTCTCTGGTCAGCACGGCCACCATTCTAGCAAGTCTTGCTGGTAGATTTATCAAGCCTCCCATCGGAAAGGTTTCGACCTTATGGGAGCATGCCGAAGGTCTCATCGTTAATTACGGGCGTCCACATCCTCGGCATTATCATCATTGCTGCTTGCAACAAAGCCAACAATTACGTTACCGGCTAAGTTCTGTACTGGGTTGGATATGATGTGATCGATATCATCCTGGATATTTTCATTGCCTATACTTCGGCTATGTGAAACTCTCTTTGCCTTTGCCTTCACACTCTTCATTTGCACATCATTCACTGGTCCCCTGGCTGCTACGCATTTCCTGAACACTTCTACTGGCGCTGTGCTTATGGCTCTCTTGATATGATCATGCCCTTTGTCTTCCTGCCTCTGGCTCGTATATTCAAGCACTATGGGAATACGGCCCGGAAGATGCGTGTCTTGCGGTGCCCAGTCAGCGGCTGGACTATAATGCAGTCCGTTCACTACTGACACGAGTTTGACAGTGAGCATAGGCCTTCCCCTCTGTCCTAAATCAACTACTAACCGAATTGGCAGTTATCGATGGCTTCATCCCGATGGCGGCTTTCATCTTGTTCCTCCTCCCTACCCGCTTGGCCAACCTCGGCCGTGCCCAGTACGGCAAAGCCGCTTTTATCACCTCCCCCCCCCCCCCCCCTCGTTCAACGGTTTCTTCTTCTTCATCTTTGCGGCCTGGGAAAAATGGTCCACCGGCGCCCAAATTTATTCTCAACCAGCTATTCAGGGACTGCACCGTCTTCGGCGCCTGCGCTCTCTCGGTTATCCTCTATTCGGCATCTACTCCTGTGATTTGTATTACAACTATTTTTTGATGGTCGTATACAACCTCGATTTCACGATGCTGATTACATGTCGGCAGTTCACGCCGTGAGATTCTGTTTCTAGCCCCGATCGTCGGCCTTTGGATCTGCTGCGTGAGGGAGTTCAAGTGCAGCCACCTCTTCCTCGCTTTTCCATTGATGACCCTCGGTACCAGCCTGAAGGTCCACTTCCGCGACTCGGATAGTGACATCGGGTACATGTCTATGTGCCAGACCTGCATCACCTTCGCTAGTGATATAATGGTCGTCGGTGAGCAGATGGCCCTCATGTGCGCGTCGGACCGTGAGGGTATCCCTATGATGATCTAACTGGTTTCCCTGTTCTCAAACTTGGATAGTGCCATTAGCTAGGTGGCCTCCGCTGCCATCCCTACTAACTCTTTCCCACGGGATCGCGTGAAGCCCTGCCGAGACTGCTAAGGACCAATGGGCTGCCCTAAATGTCGGTGGATACGTTGCTCAAATGAAGTTTCTGCCCGGCACTGAGGAGCGGGATGCAATCAACTTCGTCTATGATTATAGTCCGATGTATGGACACATTGCTGCGATGGCGATTCTTGTGTTTACTGCGCCGTGAAGAGACATCATAGGTTCGACAAAGAGCAGAGTTAGGGTACTGTTCTTTAGATCAAGAGATACCAAATCTCGGTACTAGGACACAATTTTTGGTGTACAACAAACAAGACTAGCCGGCCACTTATGTGGCGTTAAGATCTCTTCGTTGGTTGGTCTTCCTAGTCTTTTTCAAGGTATCTCTAGATGCCTTTTCAAAAATTGCCTTTCGATGTTGGCACGATGATTGTCTTCTCAAGTATCTTTTTAGATGTCTTTTCGGATATTGCTTTTGTAGGTATCTTCTCCTCTTCTTTCGTTTGCTCGGCAGAGGCTGGGAAAAGGCAAGAAAAGGCCTAACTTATGAACGCGACTTCTCAATGTATGCCTTTGAATGGGGACATTTGATGAGTCCAATGGTGGATGTTTATGACTTCTCAAATATGTCTTACATGTATTCTGTTGGCTTACTAGCGCAATATAATTTAATTTAATTTATCCCCTTTCTACTCCGTTTTTCTTCAAGTGACAGACTTCTCTATTGCTTGTGGTTGTACTAAGAGTACAGAGTACTATAGGAGGAATACTCTCATACCAAAATCCCGGGCCATGGCAGCTATAGGTATACAGTCCTCCGTAAACCATGAATGTCTCATTCGACGTTTCTAGAGAGAAGATTAGAAATGAAGACAGACGCCACAGGGCTGTTATTGGCGCGTTGCAGGTGCCAGGTGATCACGGGCCACCGAAAATGAGATTAGGAGATTGCAGGGCCTCAGATGGGGTCTGGACGACAGCGCATGAAGGATCAGTCAAAAGTACGATATACTGTTCTCTCTGACTGTGTATTGCATATATGTATGGCCTAGGTACCAAGGACCACTGCTACTGCTATAACCCTAAAAGGAAAAGAGAGTTACCAAATCCAAGAACCACGTGACGATCCTTCTTCAGGCATCAAAGCAATATAAACGCCATTTCACACTTTGGTATTTTCCAGTCAATAAAAATTGGTAAGTTCTATTCGTTTTCGAACGTCTGAAGTAAGGAGTTGTGGTGATTCCGTGCTCGCTCCCACTTGCTCGGATTTCATTCGACCTTTTTTGGTCCAAGGACCAATCTTCCAATCTTTCGACCCAATCGCCTCAGACCTGTAAAACCCTGGAAAGTTCTTCGACAGGTGACTGACCATGTACTGAGTTCAGAGGAATTTTTCTTCTTTTTACCATTCAGTCGATTTTTGAAGATTATCTTGACATTGTACCAGCCCGTCGCGCGATCTTGGTCTGTTCCGCAATCCCAAGCGCTGCGATAACATCAGCAACGCTGAACCGAACCATGTCAACTCACGCACTGACGATCTAACTCCGTTGCAATTCTACCCTTTCGAAGCGATATAAGAGATCGAGTATCCAGTCCTTGAATCCGACCGCTTGTTTGGTGCCTGGGACTTCTAGCATGATGTGTTGATGATTGATTATAACTGGACAACCCCGAAAACCACCTCCGCCAAAACGTCTCCTGGACGTCGCAGTCGAGACAGCGCAATATAACTACAGCCAACGGGCAGATCTAGTGCATCGGCTATTACAATGGATGGACGTCAGCAGTATATCCCGGGGCCCCCGCCTCCCTCTCAAACACAACACATCAACCTACCTCCGCCCCCGCCTCGACACCCACAAGCCCAAACGATGGTGCCACCTCCTCCTCCTGGCCCGCCTCCAGGGGCGACCTATGGAACACAGACGGGGTGGCAGCAAAACTGGGGCAGACCGGCGTTGAATCCAGGCTTCCCACCGCCGCCACCTCTTGCTCCCGCACCAAACCAGCATCTCACATACGGTCGCCCACCAGCTCAGTTGTCGATAATTCCTCCGCGTCAGGACCATCAGCCTATGACATCCGCAACTTATATACCCGGGAACGATACCATTGGCGTCGGCATTCCAGGATTGTTCGACCCCCATGGAAGAGCTGCTCCATATGATCCATATGCGCACAACAATGCCGAGAGACAGCGGTTGGGTCTCAGCCAAATGCACGATCATATCAATCCTTCAATTCCATATAAAACAGACCCAAGCCTCCCGCAGACCCCGAGTGGTCTCACTGTTTCTTCGCCCTACGCTCTTCATGGAAACATTCATGAATTAACCAACGACAGTCCGCAGCAGCCGGCGACAGCTCAAATTACCGAGCTCGCCAAAACTACAAGTTTTCGTCACAATGCTAGCGGGCCTTCTCTGGGAGGTTTATCTCACAGTGAAGCTGCGATCCAGTGGCCATTGGATCGCGTGCTTCTGTGGCTTGCGAAGAATGGATTTTCCAACGATTGGCAGGAAACCTTTAAAGCACTGGAGCTCGAAGGGGCTGATTTCCTCGAGCTTGGACATGGATCTGGCGGGCGCGGAAATCTTGGAAAAATGCATCAGGTGGTCTATCCTCAATTGGCAAAGGAGGTTGGTCGGAGTGGCAAAAAATGGGAGCCTGGCCGAGAACGGGATGAAGGAAAGCGTATGCGCAAACTGATCCGTCAAATCCATGATGGTTCGCAAGATTTCACCGTCTCCACACCGCTGAATCAGACGCAGCCGCTGGCGACTGCGTTCCCCGAGACCAGTACGGCTTTTTTTTCTAATAATTTTCCCGAGCCACGCTCTGCTGGCCCTGTCCCTGGTGTAAATGATGTGAGCTCGGATCATCTGAGTGCATTGTATGCCTCTAATCACGGTCAAAAGCAGCCTGGGCAACGTTCGGTTACCATGCCGGTCCCTGCTAGCCACGATTCGCCAAGATACAATGAGTCTCCAGCACGAGAAAGCTGGGTCCGATCTGACTATTTGCGGTCTGAGTACACCCGCAATGCCTTGTCGGGAATGAACAGCGACAGTCGACGCCAGAGTCAGTCCGTTGCCAGCGAATCGGGCACTTTTCAGGGGTCATCTCTTCGGCCCCATGAAGAAAGTCCAAATGGTGGTAGCCCAGCCATACAGAATGTGTTGCCCGCTTACACGGCTGCATTTTCATCATCCACTGGGGATTTGACATTGGGACTGCATGATCACACTCGGGGCGATAGCACCGAGTCGATCCCCGGATCCAGTCGGGGTACCACGGGCCGGTACTATGATTCACGTAGACAAGGCCAAGAAAATGATCCTCGGAAGCAAGGCCTAGAGGGTGCTCGTCCCTTGCCTCAAGATGCATCTGGTCGGCAATGGGGTGACCAAGTCTCTTCTTCGTGCCCCAAAGAACACAAAGGCTTTTTCTCTAATATTCTGAAGAAGAAGACAAAAGCCACGGCTTCCAGCCACCCATCTCCTGATCAGCAGCATGAAGACTCCTCGCCTACAACAAGCCCGGAGACTCGCCCGAATGAAGCCTACCTCCCTTACATAAAACCTGCCTACAACTCTAGCGACATGTCAGTCGGTGAGCGTCCATCCACAGCAACCACAAAGACGAAAAAATGGGTATTTGTTACCATGGATGGCTTTAATTTCCGCCTGGTCGACATTTCCGATCTAGAATCTTTCGAGTCGTTGCGTAACGGAATCTGTGAAAGCCTCGCGGTCGACCCAACCAATGCCCTGATTTACCTCACTCAGCCCGGACAGAGAGAACACGAGGATCCTATGAGTGATGCAACCCTCGCACAGTCGCGTCGAAGCAAGTCAGATGCATACGGTTCTCTCAAGCTGTTTGTACGAGGGACTCCTATGCTTCATATGCCATCCAATACTCCTCGAGTCGATGGCCTGGGAGTTTCATTCACAGACAAGTCCAATATGTCCCCCACGGCCACACATCACCAGGTCCACAGGAAACCCCTGGACGAAGACGCCCTTAACAGGTTATCACCGCATCGCACCAGACCCGACTCTCCATTGTTGGGCTCTCGGCAAAGTACTCTCAAGGCTTCGACAGGGAGGGCATCCCCGGCAGAGCCTGTACAGGATACAAGCCAAGCTCTTGGGTCTGACAAATCTGATTTGCTCGCTCGCCATGAGGAACATCCCCGTGAAGTCGAACGTAAACAAAAACATTATTTACAATCCAAAATTCCACAGCCTCATCAGACTAAGAATGCCTACAGCGACACCGGGTATAGGCGAAACGAAATCATTGACTTTGATAGTCCTCGTATCTCGCCTTATGATGAGAAGAAGGGAGATTCGCTTGTACCGCTTCGCAAACCTCCAACAGCGCCAATCGAGTCGAATACTCTTACCAAGGTCAACTCTCTGAGCAGGAGACCTACCACTCGTGAGAGTCGTGAAACTCGGTTGCAGCCCTCTTTGGGTTTGGGCGCTGCAATTGCCAGCGTCGGCCGCATTACAAGTGCCGTTGGCACGCCACTGCCTTCGGTGCCGGCTGCATCTCCACCTTCAGTCAACATCCAGGATAGTGCAAGCTCCGAGTCTGATCGACCAAGATCATTTGATTCTACTGGAACATTTTCAAGCAGAACAACCCTTGGTCAGTATATGCATGACACAGCGCGGCCCGATCGATCTCCCGCTGACTTTCTTTCAGACTCTTCGAGGCCCGCTTCGGAGATGGCCACTGAATGCGAGAAACCGCCAGTCTCATTTGCCAATCTGTCACCTGGGAAATTTGATTCCGAAGAGCCACCGAGACCTGGCTTGCAATCTCGCAAGTCGTTTGGTCCAGAGTTCGACTTCGAAGAGAACCAAGTATCATTCCAGCGAACTCCTCAACAGCAACAGGACTCCGATGATGACACCGACGATGACTCCGACGATGGCCTATTCCAAGTCCGACCTTCAAGGATCCAGGAAGAACAGAGAGAAGCGCAAACTGAGGCCGAAAGGAAGTCTGAGAGGCCTTCATTGACTGTGAACACAAAAGATCAATTAAGGTCAAAACTGTCTGTCAGATTCAAATCTCCGAGTACTGCTGGCCCCAGTTCCAGCGGAGAAGCATCTGATGGGAAAGAACCGGTCACTAGTACCTGGGGACCAGTCTCGCCTGAAGATGAGAGGCCTACACCACGGCGAGAGTCATTTGCCCGAGACATCTGGGCAAGCAGACCTGCCGTCGAAGGCGTTATCGACAACCTCGATGACTTCTTCCCTGACGTTGATCTTGACGCTCCTTACTTGGATGAGCCCTCATCGCCCAGTACCAAGGCTATCAGCGAACATGACCCCAAAAAGGAGGCCCTGCCACCTTTGCTGCATGCAACCCATGCTCTTGATGCAGCTCCGGTGAGACCTGCTGAACCTATCAATTTTGCTCGACAGAAACTTGCCCGTGGTGGCGGCAGTGGCGGCGGACTCTCTCGCATGAAATCCATCCGACAGGTTGCTCAGGGAGCGAACCGGACGAACAGTGTCAGCACTGCTGGTCCCCAAAGGTCGGGTGATCTTCTACGCCGAAAGAGTACCAAGATGTTCGGCGCCAAAATTATGCAAATCAAGCCCAGGCCAGGCACCCGGCTTAGCCAACTCGATCCGATCCCGCAAAACAGCACCCAGGTGGCGTCCAATACCGGACCTGTTCCTCAGCGACAGCCCACTTTCCGCATAATCCGTGGTCAACTCATCGGTAAGGGTACTTACGGTCGCGTATACTTGGGCATGAACGCGGACAATGGTGAAGTTTTGGCAGTCAAACTAGTCGAGATCAACCCGCGAATTGCAGGGGCAGACAAAGACCGCATCAAGGAGATGGTCGCCGCCCTGGACCAGGAGATCGACACGATGCAGCACCTCGAACACCCCAACATCGTGCAGTATCTTGGATGCGAGCGTGGCGAATTCTCTATCTCTATCTACTTGGAGTATATTTCCGGTGGATCTGTCGGGAGTTGTCTGCGCAAGCATGGTAAATTTGAAGAAAGTGTCGTGAGGTCACTGACACGGCAGACCCTAGACGGACTGGCATACCTGCACGACAAGGGAATCCTCCACCGCGACATGAAAGCAGACAACATCCTCCTAGATCTTGATGGTACATGCAAGATCTCCGACTTTGGTATCTCCAAAAAAACAGACGACATCTATGGCAACGACTCATCCAACTCCATGCAAGGCTCCGTCTTCTGGATGGCCCCGGAGGTCATCCAGTCCCAAGGCCAGGGCTACAGCGCCAAGGTCGATATCTGGTCCCTTGGCTGTGTGGTGCTGGAGATGTTCGCAGGCCGTCGACCATGGAGCAAGGAGGAGGCCATCGGCGCTATCTTCAAACTCGGCAGTCTGAGCCAGGCTCCACCGATTCCGGATGATGTTTCTATGAACATTAGTCCTGCGGCTCTTGCATTCATGTATGATTGCTTCACAATGTAAGTTCTCATAAATAGCTTAATGAGATAAAGATTTTGGGGCTTTTCTTTTACTAACATCTTCCCAGTGACTCGGCTGAACGCCCTACTGCCGGAACCCTGCTCACCCGTCATCCCTTCTGCGAGTCCGATGCGAACTACAACTTCCTAGATACGGAACTGTACGCCAAGATCCGCGACGTGCTTTGAGTTTCCTTGTTTTGATTTTGCTTGTTTGATTGGGTTCGGAGTAACTTGACGACTTTGCGCTTTCTCCTACCAACCGCACATACCCTTTTTTTTAACATTCTTGAAGCGAGTTGTCGTCTAGATCTGCTGACTTTCTGATTACCTGTACATATATATTCTCTCATTTGTGGATAATAACATTTACCGGGGGGACTACATTGTTCCCTCTTTACAGTCCAAATGTGATTTACTACGACACTAGCAAGACCTGCTGTCGGGACTAACACGTAGAACAAAATTCTTCGGCTTGTAAATGTACAATAGTGCTCAATTCAACATGGTATCTATGCTCGAAAAGCGGAAATTAAGAAAAAAGATCATGAGGTCGGATCCAGATCCTAGGAGTTGGTGCTTAGGATGTCGTCATCGTCCTCGGGGATATGAGCTTGCAACCCAGCGACGCCAACACGGAACACACCCTCGCACCACTCAGCAAAGGTATTAACGTCCCAGACAGCATCATCTCGACCCTTCCCTTTCTTACTTACGAAATTGCCCTTGGCTTTCTCGGAGGAAGTATACTTCTCAAAGAAGTCCTCATAGATCTGAATGGTGCGGTCCTGGACCGCCCCAACAAGCGTCTCTTTCATACGCGTGTCGTCAATATACTCATTCAAGACCTTACGCAGAATCGGTACTTGCTTCTCGATAGTGCGACAGGAAGGAAGGATAAGTTCGCCGCGTGCCAGATTCCGGGAATCAACGAATTGAGCCGGCAGCGAGGCGGTCATGCGAGCAGCAAAGGCATTGATGAAGTCGTTGATGACTGTGCGAAGGCGACCATCCAGCTCGACTTTTGCGTCGAGCATATTCTCCACGACGCGCGGGATGAGGCCGTGGCCGACGAGGCGCATCAGGTTTCGCGGGTTGAAGAGGCCGCCGCGCTCGCGTAGCTCCCAGAACGTACTTGTCATGCCGGAGAAGTCGAAGGAGATATCGGCGGAGACGAATTCGATGTCGAAGGCGACGATTTGTTGCTTGAGGATTAGGAGGTGGCTCATGAGGAAGAGTTGGCTATCAGCTGGTGTGGCTTTGGCGGAGATTAGTGTGCTGGCGTTTTGGAGAGAGAGGGTTGTTTGGTGTACGATTTGGTGGGCTAGATCGTCGAAGACGGTGGACTGGGGTGGTCAGCATGAGTGGTTGGTTAGGATTGTTGCGGACAAGCATCTTACATTCACTAGGCGATATATCCGACTCAGGAGCCAAATAGCTTTTCGCAAGGTTGGATACCAGCCCTTTAGGGCGGTCTGGGTCTCAAAGTCCCATTTACCGTCTTGCTCTTGCGTAGATTCGCCGGCGTCGTCGCTCTGTTTGGCCATGTCGATTAGTGTGTCCGCAGATGTGTCCTTTTTGCCCGATATCTGAGTATCGGAGACAGTCAGAGATGCCTGTCGGTTGCGCATGGGGTAGTCCGTATCCTCTGGGCGAGGTTTGTATCGTTCAATTTCGTCGCGCAGAAAAGCCAGAGCACGGAAGACAAGTCGGGCCTGAACATCTTGCATAGCGGGCTGGATCAAGACAGAGAAGTCAAGACGGTTCGTCTCGACTTGTTCTTGTTCTTCTTCTGGGTCCGATAAATAGCGAGTCTGCAGTAGATTGCACAGCTGACATAGCTTGACAATATCGGACTCGTGGATGATTCGTGGACGAAGGTGGTCATAGAGTGGTTCGCATAGCGTCTCCAAGAAGTCATACAAACCGCCTTGTCCGTGGAACCACTCCCCCCATAGATCAAATTCGTCTAGACACAGTCCACGAATATAACTGATGCTAGCTCGAGCAAAAGCAACGAGGTCTTTGGATGAACTAGGCGTCTGTGTGATTTCGCCGAGCTTTTTGCGAGCGAGCGGAATGATCAGCTTTCCACGAGTAGCCGAGTAATTGCTGTGCAGCTCGTTCATCAGACTTTGATATTCAGCTTCATTATTTTGATCCAGTTCAAGTGGTGGCACAGCTCTCTTTTGGATCTCGACTCCAATCTGCTTCATGTCAGGTGCTCCAACCCTAAATTTGGCGTACAGGAGGGCTGACAAAGCTGTGTCATTCAATTGCTGATCTGACATCTTCTTGGAGACATTCTGGTAAATATCCTTAAGTGAAGAAACAAAGTTGCCGCGGATAAGCGTCAAGGCACGCGTTAGCAGTAGTCGGTATCTCGAGCGATAGACCTCTGCCTCTTTTTGTTCCGGCTGCATAGAGGTCAGTCCTAGGCGCATTGATATACGCGATTTTCTTACTCACATGTGTTTCCATATAATCCAAGCACACGTCCAGATGCCTCAACATATCTGAGAATTCCTTATCGCGAACCGTATTGCCCGCGCCGGGGGCATTCAGCCGTCGCGATGCGGGATCTAAGAAGTCGTAATAGTGGAGATTGTTCTGGATGCCATTCGCAAGTTTTGTATCTCGTTTCTGGGCAGACAAAAGCCCTTGGCATTGTTTCTCGAAGTTCGATGTTTGGGTCTCGACCGATCTGAATGACTCGGACAAGCTGGATAGGTCATCCAGAAGGGCCAGGGTATTGGTTAAGATTTCGTCAATGTGCTCCTTAGATTGTTCAAGTTCATCCAAGCAATTCCTGCAGAAAAGTAAATCAGTACGCCTCTGATGACCGTTCAATGTCGACCATACTGGTACTCGTCATAGCTCTCCTCAATCAAGTCACCCTTGATACTATCGAGCCACTGCGAAAAGTCAAGCTCGTTGCTCCATCCTGGTGTTTTCCACTCAAAATCGCTGGGCGGCTTTTCGTCGATTGCTTGTATGCTTGATTCGGTCTCTTCGGTGGTGGGTTTGCGCGGCGGGCCAGAGGGAGCGGTTTGGCGGCGGGCACGGAGCTGCTTAGTGGAAGGCATGGTGCGTTTAAGGCCCAGGGAGTGTTATAGGGGTCAGTCCACAGCTCATATCTCTCTGCTAACTTTATCCAGAGTGAAATTGAGGCCAAATTTGACGTTGAAGTCCAACTGCGATGTGGTCAACTCCGAGAGGGATTCTGCCAAGAGCTCCCGCCTGGATTGCCTCACAGGCGCGGCATTGAGAGCTTCCCCGGATCTAACTTCACCTTTGCAGTTTGGATATGCTCTAGCTGGTCATCCAGCCATCATCTAAAATGTTGAATTCACAAATGCGACGGCCCGTGACGCACTCTGTCCTCGCTTTTCGTCCACTCAGATACTCGACGACTCCGTCACGAAATGCGCCATGGTCCCGATTTGCTAGCAGTCGATCGCAAAAGCAAGGCCCATCATCGCACTGGATCCGCAATTCTCTTGGATTTGCTGTCATAGGAACTGTAGCCTTTTTTGGATACTCATACGTGGCTGATGGTGAAAAGGAGGCTTGGATGAGTCGCCCAGAAGTTACGAAGAAAGAGCCCGTTGACGTCAACGATCTTCAAGCTCAGTTCATTCAAGAAAAAAGAAGCTTGAAAAGTCCCGCTGTCTACACATGGGGGTCAAACGTTTATCGTGTGGTGGATCCAGGATCCAAAGACATCGATGTCAAGACTCCTCGGCGCTTCAAATACTTTGATAGTCAGGTGCTTAGAGATCTCAAGATCGAAGAAAAGGCTGGTGCAGCAATCACTGAAAATGGAGATCTGGTTCAATGGGGCCACGCTTTTTCGGAATCGGACTTCAAACCCACGGCGACTCTGACCGGCAAGAATCTCATCTCCCTCGCTCTGTCCGAAAGTCGAATCATCGCGCTTTCCTCGGATGGGACTGTATACTCACTGCCCATATCCAAGGACGAACAAAGCACCGGCCCAAAGACAACGGAAAGCTCTTGGGTGCCGTTCTGGCCCAATCGATCTGATCTAAGCTACCGAGTACTGAACCCATCTTTGAAGCTTGGTGAAAAGGTCACTACAATCAGTGGAGGGCAGGAACACGTGCTACTTCTCACAAGCTCTGGTAGAGTCTTCTCTGCGGCGTCATCCACTGAAAATTACCCTTCGCTTGGTCAACTCGGCGTAGAGGGACTTACCTGGTCAACCAGACCCAAGGGGCCAGCAGATGCCTGCCACGAAGTTACAGCTCTCGAAGGCTCAAAGATTGTTCAGATTGCCTGTGGCGACTACCACTCGCTGGCGCTAACCAAAGATGGCCGTATGTTTGGCTTTGGCGACAACTCATTTGGCCAATTGGGTGTGGATTTTGAACCGGAGAGGCCTTTCAAGGACGCTCCTTTCCACATTAAGGTTCAAAAGCTCTATAGAAGAAACCTCTATCTGCCCAAGGTTACCAGCATTGCTGCTGGTGGTGCAAACACCTTCTTCTCTGTCGATGTCAAGCGCATTTTGGGCTACGAAGAAGAGGCTGCCCATGTTCATGATCTTGGAAATGTAACTGCAGACACATGGGCCTGTGGTAGGGGAATTTGGGGTACTCTCGGCAATGGCAGATGGGTTCATCTGCAGGATTCGCCCACCAAGGTAAAGGCTTTGAGTGGTGTGAGGGAGTATGACGAGAAGACAAAACAAATGACCCCTATCCGCATTCGAGCCATGTCTGTCGGTACAACACATGTCTCTGCTATCTTGGACAACAAGACCAATGTAAGCAAGACTACCAGGGACTCTTTAGATCAATCTAAAGATTGGGGCTATGATGTACTCTGGTGGGGAGGCAATGAGCATTTCCAGCTAGGGACAGGAAAGAGAAGCAACCAGTCCAAGCCTACCTACATTAATGCACCCCCCGAAAACAAGAAAACCCAGGCTGAGGCACGATTACAGATCATGCCTCGTCACAAGGGCAAGGTTGGGAAGCGTAATGTGAGCATGGAACAGCGTGTTGAATGTGGGCGCCATGTCTCTGCCATTTATTCTGCAGTGTAAAGGATAAAAATGAACCGTGTATATTAGTGATGCCATATGAAATGCGATTGCAATTAAATCTGTTCAATGATCGGCCTTTTGTTATGGTCTTGTAAAATGGCCCGCAGTTGCAAACAGACCAAACTCTTATCACCGCGGAGACGCTTAGACCACCGCTTATCCAAAAAATTTCCAGCGCTTCAAGTCCATCTTCCCTCACGACACACCACCATAATGCCTCGTGAACAACAAAAAAGAGGCCGCAGGGCCGAAAAGAAAGCCCAAAAAGAGGACTCCAAGAGAAAGTTGGAGGAAACACCGGAAGATCCCGTCGCAAAGCGACTGAAGCCCTCTGCCGACGACGCCGACGAGACCAACGAGAACAATGACGACGTCCAACTTCCCGAAAATGAGGACTACATTCCACTTGACCAGGGCGAAGATCAGGAAGGTGAGCGACCTAATGCGGATGGAGACATGGTTTTCTACGGTCTTCTCGACGAGGAGGAGTCTGAATACTTCCAGCGCGCCAACGAAATGCTGGAGCTGAACCAGTTCCAGGACGCTGAAGAGCGTAGCTTGTTTGTCGACAGTGTATACTCGGAAGCCAGTGGCAAGGAGTTGAAGATTGCCTGTAGTCAGGGCTGTTCGAGACTCATGGAGAAATTGATCTCTATGTCAGACGCTCGACAACTGCGTCGGATATTCAGTAAATTCATCGGCCAATTCCTCCACCTAGTGCAGCATCGCTTCGCCAGTCATTGTTGTGAGACGCTTTTCATTCACGCTGCACCTGCTGTGATGCAAAAGACGAAGTCTCAACCTAAACAATCGGACGAGGAAGGAGAGGAAGAGCCGGAGCTGTCGCTTGCAGAAATGTTCATGGCTGTTATTGAGGAATTGAAGGAAAATTGGGGATATCTGTTGACGGAGCGATTTGCATCTCACACAATCCGAGTTCTATTGCTGGTTCTTGCAGGCGAACCAGTGGATGTTACTTCAAATGAGTCGTTTGTTGCGAGTCGCAAGAAGGAAAGAATTGAAATCCCGACTGTTCAGGGTGAGGATAAGGCGAGCAAATCGAAAACCGAGAAACACGCTGTTCCAGAGGCGTTTGAGCCGGCACTCAAGAAGATCATGACCGACATGGTCTCCGGTCTCGACGATGTTTATCTCCGAGCCCTGGCTACGCATCCAGTTGGAAATCCTGTGCTTCAAGTACTGTTGTTCCTGGAGCTTTCGCACTTTGGAAAATCTAGCGCCAAAGATCCCAAGTCGACCATTCGCAGACTGGTTCCCGATGAGTCGTTCGAGGAAGAATCCGAAAGCGCGGTTTTCATTCGTGGTCTCCTCTACGATCCAGTGGGTTCTCGCCTACTAGAGACGATGGTGCGATACCTTCCTGGTAAATCATTCAAAAATCTTTACAGGAACAACCTGGGTGACCGGATTGGTTCTCTCTCTCGCAATAGCACTGCTGGATATGTAGTTCTTCGGATGCTGGAAAGACTCGGCAAGGATGACTTGAAGATTGCCATGACCAACATAATCCCTGAGATTCCAGGCCTGGTTGAACGGTCGAGACTCGTTGTCCCTAAGATGTTGATCGAGCGGTGTGTGGTCCGTGGCGTCGACACAAAGCCTCTTGCCGAAGCACTCGAGGCTGCTTATAGCCAGGATCCTGTTATCAGACTGCAGCAGATGCTCAAATTCAACCCCTCCGAGAACACCGCCCCACAACCTGAAAACCACGCTATGGACGAGGACAACAACGGAAAGGACCGCAAGCCACGGGGCCCACCGCCGGTATCTGCAGCCGAGAAAGCAGAGAAACTACATGGCTCTCTGCTGGTACAGGCCATGTTGACCGTTCCTGGCCCGCTGAGTCAGCTTGTCTATACGAGTCTTCTCGCCCAATCCTCCGATACCATCGTACAACTTGCCCAAGAACCCACCTCTTCCCGCGTTCTACAACAGGCCCTGACTTCCACAACCTCCACGCCTCAAATTCGGCGACAGCTCACCACCCGTTTCCAGGGTCACCTCACACCTCTTGCCTTGAGCAGCAGTGGGTCACACGTAGTGGATGCGCTCTGGACCGCAACCAAGGATATCTTCTTTGTCAAGGAACGTATGGCACGAGAACTCGAGCAGCATGAACAAGAGCTCCGTGATTCCTTTGTGGGTCGCGCAGTCTGGCGAAACTGGTCAATGGATCTCTTCAAGCGCCGCCGACGCGATTGGACTTACAAGGCCAAGGGCTTTGAGGAGCGAACCGAGAGCAATGAAGGCGCTGAACGCCCCAAGTCTAAGCTTGAACAGGCTCGGGCTCGATATGCAGCAGCTAAGGAAGCAGCCGATGCTGGTGCCACTGGTGCTAATCAGACTGCGGTGGCTAGCAGATGAATAGGTACATTGGTGATAAAGTTAAATTTTGGACGATTTGCACATGTACTCATACAAAAAGGCGTTGATGCATTCAATTTTTTTTTTTCTTGCATTATATCTATTTTCTGTAGCTATATTATAAAACGATCTAAAATTTCAAAACATGTTAGAAACTTGGAGAAAATTGTCCAGTTGTACCTAAGTTATATTTAGTTCACTGGCAACGTTCACATGAGGCTACCGGGTTCCTGCAGATCCCGAATCTTAACATCCCTGTCTGCATATGATGTATGCGGACTACCTAGATTATGAGGATACTAATTTTACGAGAATCCATTCCACAAACAAAGAGTATACAACATAGCTGAGTATAGACCATCGCATGCCGGCTGAAGATGCCAATGATGTCAGGCTTTGCGGGAGTGTCGCTCCCGAGGTCGCCGGGAGAACTTTTTTTTCCTCTTTCAATTGCGCTATCTGCCCTCTTTTCAAGGTTATATCTTCTGCATAGGCTCGGTGCTGTTCCTCCTTGCATTTTTACATACTAGAACGTTATAACCTGTTCAAATGTCAGGCATTGTGCACCCCAACCGCGCTGATGAAGTGCAAAGCGTGAGTCAACTCCATACCGCAATGATCTGCACCCCCGCTGATTTCTTTATTCAATGCTCTGATACTGATGTGATCACTCTGCTCAGCTTCTGAAAGCAGTAGAAGACCTTCTTATTCCATTTATCAGATCCGCAGACGAGAATCTCTGCGGGGGTTCGACACAGAAGAATGGCACTAATGGCACCCATGGACACACTGAACTGACTGTGACCTCGTTGGTAAATTATAAGAAGCCCGAAGAGCTGCGGGATATTCTTAAGCTCGAGATCCCAGAGAAAGGCACGAAGCAGGAAGGTCTCATTGAGGTTTTGCAAAAGGTCCTGAAATACTCGGTCAACACCTGGCACCAGGGCTTTTTGGACAAGCTGTATGCGTCAACCAATGCGCCCGGCGTGGCAGCAGAGCTCATCCTCGCTACCTTGAACACCAACGTACACGTCTACCAAGTATCACCTGCGCTGACAGTCATCGAGAAATATACCGGCCAGCGGTTGGCGAACCTCTTCGGCCTGAACGGCCCACAGGCAGGAGGTATTTCCGTACAAGGCGGATCCGCATCGAACACCACCTCCATTGTCATTGCGCGCAACAACCTCTACCCGAGCACGAAAACAGACGGAAACGGCGAGTACAAGTTTGTGCTTTTCACGAGCGCACATGGCCACTACAGCGTGGAAAAGGCAGCGCAGATGCTCGGGTTCGGCAGCAGTGCTGTCTGGCCCGTCCCCATTGACAAGGTCGGCCGCATGATCCCAGCCGAGCTTGAGAAGCTGGTCCAGAAGGCGCAGAGCGAAGGCCGGACACCGTTCTATGTCAATGCCACCGCAGGCACAACCGTCCTGGGCTCTTTTGACCCCTTCAACGAAATCGCAGCCATTTGCCAAAAATACAACATGTGGTTCCACATCGACGGGTCCTGGGGCGGCTCATTTGTCTTCTCCCAGCGTCAGAAGCATAAGTTAGCCGGCGCAGAGAAAGCAAACAGCATTGCCATTAACCCCCACAAAATGCTCGGCGTTCCAGTCACCTGCTCGTACCTGCTGGCCTCGGATATGCGTCAGTTCCACATGGCCAACACCCTTCCCGCGGGATATCTATTTCACAACGAAGAAGACGAGCCTGTTAGCAACGGCGACGAGTTGGAAGTCGAGTCCCCGGAGGTGTGGGACCTGGCAGACCTCACTCTCCAATGTGGTCGACGTGCGGATTCCCTCAAGCTGTTTTTGGGTTGGACATACTACGGCAACGAGGGCTACCGACAGCAGATCGACTCAGCTTGTGACATCGCTGCGCACTTGGCTAACACCATCGAGCAACATCCCGATTTCGTTCTTATTAGCGAAAACCCCCCGCCTTGTCTGCAGGTGTGCTTTTATTACGCTCCAGGCAAGGAGTTCGTGTACCCGCGCGGCATTGTTTCAAACGAGGCACAGCGCGCGAAGAATAACAGCAAGGTCACTGAGCAAGTGACGCATGCGATCGTGCACAAGGGCTTTATGGTAGACTTTGCGCCTCCCAGTGGGGACGACGATGCGGCTGGGAACGGGAAGTTCTTCCGGTGCGTGGTGAATGTCCAGACGACAAGGGAGACCGTTGATTCGCTTGTCCGCACCATCGAAGAGGTGGGTCCCGGTATTGTTGAGTCTTTGAAGGCGAGCAACTCAGCTGTTAAGCGGCTTGGTGAGCGTGGACACGGCCCTGTTGTCCATCGTGTTTGAGCAGGTGCATGTTTCGTTTCGTTTTTTTTCTAAAAAAAATTTTCCTTGCATATAGAGAGTAGAACTTATGGACATGAGAGATGGGACACGACATAGAAGAGATCTGGTGCAATAAGTGAGGCTGTGTATCAATGTGACATCCTACGAACAAGGAGCCAATGTATCGGAGCTCAAATGGGGAGGTTGTAGAGCAGTTGGCATCGGTTCGAGCTATACTTACCCGAACTGGATTCATAAATTAGTTGAGTAGAGGGAATAGCTTGTGCGTAGTGTGATATCAAAGCCATCAACCGCCAATATCGACCCTACGTTCCAACACGGAGCGAGCCTCAGCTTCCGATAGAGAGTCGATCTCCAATTCAGCAAGCACGCCCCGTGCACTCTCGTTATCCCTAAATAGCCTCTTCTCTACATCCCACAATCTTAAAGGCATGTCTTCCTTTGCAGAGACATCCCCTTCGTCCTCAGCCGTACTCAAGCAAAGTATACGCAGTCCCTCGCTAAGCTTTTTGATGATCCGCAACGAGATGCCCGCCTGGCCAGACGCGCCGAGTGCAGAATCCACAACGTGACACAGATGGTCGACATCGCTAGCAAGCTGGGCCGCTCCAGTCTCAGAGAATGTGTGTTTGGTTAGGACGCTGTCCCAGATGTAGCTCTGGACAGACAGCAGGAGCTGGCGCGAGACTCGTCGTAGAGGCGCAGTTCCCAGTGCGCGAGAGAGGAAAGAGAGCTGCGTGGACAAAGCACGCATTGCATGCGCGAGATCGGAAGTGGGCGAGAGAGGAGATCCCGCCGCTGTGGCAGAGGGGATTGACAGCGTTGCCCACGTGGAGACGCGAGAGTAGGGCTTCAGGGCGGCGAGGATATTGGAGGACAATGTGGATGTGATGATGGTTTCGGAGCGAAGTCGAAGACGACGGTAGGCAGATGCCGTCTCATCAAAGAGAGCGCCATCGGAAGAGGCCGCGGTGTGGCTGCCGTTGTTGTCGGCAACTGCGGGTGAGGTACGCGACGCTACCTCTGTGACAGACATAGTACCTACTACGTTGCGACCGCTGTCTCGATTTTGTCGAACCCGATCTTGAAGTTCGGACCAGAGCTCAACGAAGAACACATCGTTGCTCCAATCCTCCATCTTCTTCTCGAGGTATTCGGCACTTCCGAACACCCTGCACAGCCGCTCCAGCCCGGCCACACCCTCGACGCTGGCTTGCCCGTCGGCTCCCTGTACAGTGCGCCCAAGTGTCGAAGTCATCGCGAGGTACGCCTCTAGTGCAGAACAGAGGCGTTCGTGGAATTGGTCAAAAACGGTGATTTGAATGTCAATGAGAAACCGCAGCTTTTGGCTAAAAGACGGCAATGGCTGATAGCGCTCGGTTATAGTTTCGAGAAGGTCATTCACGCGGATTGCAGCCTTTGTTGGTTTCGTTGCAGTGAGCTCCATGCCATCATAATCGATTTCTCCGCTATCCGCGGTGTCGATGATATCTTTGTAACGCGCCAGTGCAAAATCCTTCTCAACCTGAAGCCATCGATCATACCACCCCTGTTTGGTCAACACTTCCCAGGTCACGCCCTTCCAATTTTCATCCGCATACGGATCTGGCATATAGTTCCACGTTTCTCGGATCTCGTTATCAAAGTTCATCAGTTCATGAATGGAGTGGCTGAGCAATTGAGGGTAGTTTGAGATCTGAGGGAGGAACAAGCTGATCTTCTGTCTCAGCATAGGAAGCAATGCAGTGATGTAACTATGTGATGCATTGTAAAAATGCCATTCCAGACTTGGACCGACTGCTTCGGCTCTTTCATCAAAGATGGGCTGCAGATAAGAAACAAAAAACCCGCCGTATTGATTGACAAGGTCCATAATGTGCGAGAGGAAATATTCCGGCTAGAAACCAAGTTAAAATTCTGTTTCTGCGTTGACCTAGGTTCACTTTACCTTGTCCAGTCGGTTTGTTGGTTTGTCTCCACTAAAGTGATATTTGAATCGGAGATCGAGATGATGCACCATAACCTCTAATGGGAACAGGACTGGAGGCTCGAAGCTCAAACCGGAAGCGAGTGCGTCGCGGCTTGGAAGTTCGCTTAAAGGAGACTTGTTAGAACATGCATCCAGACACGAAGGGGCTGATCATACGGTAATTGCAGGTCGATCAACAATTCAACATCTTGCCTCCACCGGGCCAGGAGCTGGTCGGTAACATTCAGTTGTCTTGTCGGCCAGTTCAATTCTTCCAGTGTCTTCTGCAGCCGGTCACTAAAGTATGTCTTCATCTGTTGTCTCAGTGCAGAGGCTAGTTTATCTGTATAGTCGACGAGATGGGGAGCCGCCCCTTCGGCAGCAGGCTGAGCGTTTTTCAGTTGTCCGACGATGGTTCGTAGTCGGGCATACGGCTTCAAAGCTGCGCGTGGTTCGGAGGCAATGCCTGCCAAAGCTTGCTTGCTGTTTTGCTTTCTCAGTATCCAGCCCCTCACTACAGGTGAATGTGGCATTACCTCAATTCCTCGGCTTCCTTGAGCAACTCCACATATCCCTTGGATATTTCAAGCCTGTGGAGCTTCTCCATGCTCTTTTCCAAATCCCGTACCGCCTCATCGCTGGTTTCGGATTGTGTGATGGCCATTAATCGTCGGTCGATGTCCACTTGCTCCGCGGTGAACGCCTCGGCTTGCTTTCGAGTAGCTTCGGCATGCTCGTTAGACGCTTTTGTCGCATTTGAGAGTGCTTCGCTGGCTTCTGCTAGCTGTTTGGACACGGGTTTGTATCAGTAGTTTTTAGAGAGAAGGTCGGGGTTATGAGGGGCGGTACCTGCTTCCGCTGAAGTTCCTGTTGCGCGCGTAGACTAGATAGTAATGAATCTAAGCTCTCCAGATCGGCAGAAACCTGAATCTTGTCATTTAAATAATCCTCGACCCGAGTCCGCTCATGCGAAGATAATTCCGTGAGGGAAGCCATTGTTGGAGGAAACCTGACTGGGGAAGCGCAAGGTGTCGCGGATGTTGATCTCCGCCTACGGCAGGTTTTAGAGTCCGTCGCGGGTTCTTGCCGGCAAATGAGCACTGACTGCTTTGATTCAACCTCAGCCAAGTCATGTGTCTTGTGCCTACAAAACAATGACATCAAAGATGTCTTTTCGAATGTCTGAGGACTGAATTAACTCCATATCCTAGAAAATCTCCCTCTTTGGAAGCACGTATTTCAACACTCTTTTAAACATTTTCATTTTTAAAAGTCTTTTGACACTCTTTTTTAGCGCTTCTAACCTTTTTTTTTCGCCCTGTCCTAATCGTATAGATCAAAGTAAATCAAATAGGAGCACTGCGGCAAATAGAGCGGTGACTGAATTATGGGGCTCGATGGACTTTAAAACCTACTGTTCTCCGCCTTTTGGACTGACGTCTTGTGCAGTGGCAACCATGAGCTTTCAAACTATCAATACCTTGAATAATGTCCAGTCCAGCCAAGAAGCGAAAAAGAAATGGAGATTCGTCACCACCGAAGCGCGGTATTAAGTCTTTCTTCAAAGAACAGAACACTGAACAAATCAATTTAAAAGGTCCCGATGTCACTGAGCAAACTCTCTCCGATGAAGCTCTTGCGCGCAAGCTACAGGCTGAGTGGAATAAGCAGGAAAATGCACACACTCCTACCGAAGATTCACAAGCTGAGCTGCAAATCAATTCAGTTCCATCGATGTCAGACCCGCCTGTTTTACCGATGGTTGCGCCGGTAATGCCAAAGAAGAGCACTCTTTCACTACAGTCATCAGCTGGGACGGAGGATACAGTATCCCTTGCGATTCCGCTGGATCAAAGCCCCCAAACCTTCGACGCGAGTCAATATGCAGCAGAACTGCGGTCGCATTGGGAAATCGAAGGTGGGGATGCTTCTTACGCTTTATTAACGAGAGCCTTTGTCCTGGCGAATGCGACAACCAGTCGAATAAAGATTGTGGATACGCTGGTCAACTTTCTTCGGGTTTTGATTGAAGGGGACCCATCAAGTGTCCTACCTGCTGTGTGGCTAGCAACCAATTCCATATCACCTCCCTACGATGAACTAGAGCTAGGCCTGGGAGGCTCCTCCATCTCGAAAGCACTAAAAAGGATATACGGGCTCAATAGCCAAGGGATCAAGACCCTGTATAATAAGCACGGCGATGCAGGAGATGTTGCATTCGAAGCCAAAAAACGACAATCATTTACTCTGATGAAGCCGAAGCCGTTAAGGATCAAAGGAGTTTACCAGTCACTGAAGAAAATCGCCACCAGCAAAGGACCTGGTAGTCAAGAAACCAAGCAGAGGATCGTCGAGAAGCTTCTACAGGATGCGCGCGGTGCCGAGGAAAGCCGATACATTGTCCGGACATTAGTCCAGAATCTGCGAATTGGCGCCGTCAAGACGACGATGCTGATAGCTCTCGCACGAGCTGTCTTATACTCCAAGCCAATCGGCGCTGATTTCGAGGTTCGTCCGCATCAACTTGCACACTTGAAAAAGGACGAGCTTGCGGAAGTCTACATCAATGCAGAAGAAACCGTTAAAGCGTCATACGCTAGACATCCTAGTTACAATGATTTGGTGCCCTGCTTATTAGAGATCGGGCCCACGGACGAGCTTTTGGTCAGATGCGGCCTAACCATGCACATCCCACTGAGACCGATGCTGGGCAGCATCACACGCGATCTGTCGGAGATGTTGACGAAGCTCCAAGGTCGGGACTTCAGCTGCGAGTACAAGTATGACGGGCAACGTGCGCAGGTACATTGTGACGAGGAAGGGAAAGTTTCCATCTTCTCACGCCATCTAGAGCTCATGACGGAGAAGTACCCAGATCTTGTCTCCCTGGTCCCGCAAATCCGGGGAGAAGGCGTGTCGAGCTTTATCCTGGAGGGAGAAGTAGTTGCCGTGGACCGTGAGACTGGCAATCTTAAGCCATTCCAGGTTTTGACCAATCGCGCAAAGAAGAACGTTGAAATCGGAGACATCAAAGTCAATGTCTGTCTCTTCGCATTCGACCTCATGTATCTCAACGGCGAGCCTTTGCTAGACCGTCCCTTTCGAGAACGCCGCGAACTACTTCGCAGTCTTTTTACAGAGATTCCAAAGCACTTCGGCTGGGTGAAGAGCATGGATGCAACATCAGCGGATTCCGAGCCTGTTCTTGAGTTTTTCAAATCTGCCATCGATGTTAAGTGTGAGGGCATCATGGTGAAACTCCTCGACAACGAGCGCGGCACAAACCCTCAAGCCAACAACCTTATCTTTCAAGAAATAGCCCCCACAACCACCGACCAAGCAAACCAAGCAGCATCCGACCCCAAAATCAACCCCAAACCCAAAGAAAAATCTACCCGGCGCAAACCCCTTCTCTCAACCTACGAACCCGACAAACGCCTTGAATCCTGGCTCAAAGTAAAAAAGGACTACAGCACATCCTCCGAAACTCTCGACCTAATCCCGATAGCCGGGTGGCACGGCCATGGGCGTAAAGCGAAATGGTGGTCCCCGATCCTACTCGCAGTCCGCAACCCGGAAACAGGATCCCTAGAAGCTGTAACAAAATGCATTTCCGGGTTCACAGACAAATTCTACCAAAGCAACAAAGAAAAGTACGCGCACGGCAGCACGAACGTCATCTCGCGCCCTAGTTACGTCGAGTACTACGGCGAACCAGACGTGTGGTTTGAACCATGTGAGGTGTGGGAAATGGCTTTTGCAGATATCACGCTCAGTCCTACGTATCCGGCTGCTATTGGACTAGTTAGCGATGAGCGCGGGTTGAGTCTGCGCTTTCCGCGCTTTGTCAAGGTTCGCGAGGACAAGTCTATTGATGAGGCTACCTCGTCGGATTATCTGGCGTTGCTGTGGCGGAAGCAGATGGAGCGGACTGGGGAGGTTGGGGAGGTTGGGGAGGCTGGCCAGGAGGAGGGGATAGAGGAGGAAATGGAGTAGATGTGTTAATGTCGAATACAAGTACGGAGTACATGGTTGAATAAAGGGTGATGTCACTAGGAAAGTTATACGAATTGGACAACTCGGGTTTGAAATCTTGGAGGATCGGACGAGAATAAAGTAAATACGAACAGATTTCTAATTGAAACTCACACATGGTGCAGAGGTCAAGCAATTCAATTTCTGTGCTATCACTTAACTTGCCTAGCCTCTTTGATTCAATTCTCGAAGCCAGTATCCCCGATCATTCTCTAGGCTGAAACGGGTGTGAGTTGCCATTCAGAATGGTACTTGCAACCTTGCGGGAGATCCAACTTGATTTTTTTTAATTCCAAATGAAACCCCCCCAAAGCTGTACCGAGAGCCTTTGAACGCACCACCCCCAGCTTAGGGAACGGGCAAGACCCCTGCATTCTGGTAGGACTCGAAGGTCTTTATCCATGTGGTTTGAGTGTCGTCGAAGCGAATCCAGCCGAACTTTCTTGCCTTTCCCACCGAGGCAATGAGTGGTGACTCAATCTCAGTAGGTGTGATGTACCAGTTCATCAGGGCGAATGAGTCCAACTGGAAAGAGTTGACATCACCGCCATGCTTGGCCACAATTCTCTCCCAAACGGGACGCTTGTCCTTGGCCCACTCAAGCATGTCCACAGGCTTGGTGGTTTCCGTGGGCTCATCCGAGCCTAGCGGGGTCTTGAAGTAGTCAGCCAGGAAATGCCAAAGGAACTTCCAGATGATCACATCGCCGTTCGTGTGATTGAATGCCTCATCCTTGCAGCCATCCTGGGTAGCAGCCCACACGGTCAAGTCGGCAATACTAGGGGCATAGGACTGAGTCTCGACCCGAAGGTAGGTGCTCAAGCTTCCCGGCCATTTAGGAGGCACGCCGAGCTCACGGCAGATAAGGAAGTACTGAGCAACCGGCAGAGCCTCGTTGATACCAATGTCTGTTATTCCTTGCGTCAGTCACGAACTGATAACCGAATCAATTCTCGGGGTGTCCTACATTGAGAGGCATATCCAATGATTCCCATGGGACGAATGATGTTGTAGCTCCAGGTTTGGCGACGCTTCTGGATCGCAAACATGTCATCTTCTTGCTCATAATAGAAGATAGATTCGGGTCCGTCATATCGAGGTATTTCTTCTTTGAGTGCAGAGTTCATTTCTCGGAATTGAAATCCGTAGTGCTAAGTAAAAATGAGCGCTTGCAATCTTTTGATGCCTGGAGCAAAGAAAGATTCCGGGAACTCGAAGATCACAACGTACCTTTCCGCCTGTCTGTAGTACAACCCGCTCCAATTTTGGACAAGCTTGATCCACGGCTTCCAAGAAGTTTCGGAATAAGGGGCCATTCTTTTTGTAGAGAACGGAGAAATCGTTGTTGTGGACGTACGATGTGAAGAATGCATGCGTGACACCTTCACAGAGCTCTTTGATCTGTTCTACAAGGCTCTCTGAAGAGTTCAAGAAGTCCAGGGCAATGAATTCAACCCTGGGATCGGTGAATTGAGCGTTGAGGGGTCTGCGTGAGGAGATGATGATCTTTGACCTTGTTCAAGAATTCTAGTTAGACTCGGACAAGAGAGCCATCTAAGGGGTTGCGTATCAGGGAATTCAGGATCTTTTACCATTCCGTCGCAGGACGCCCGATAAGGTGTTCGACAATGGCATGGCCAGTGATTCCATTGGCACCGGCAACGAAAGCAACGCCATTGCTGGGCGTAGTGACTGGAGGCAGGTGGCTCATGATGGCAAACAGACAAGAGGGATGGTGATGCTAGTTCTGAGGACTAATGCGGGAGAGAAAACCTGAGCTGGGGAATTGACCTATTTTATAGCCCTCTTACCATCTCCAGTCGGCCCGATTACCCGGTCGAAAGAAGACTCTGACCGGCGCGAGTCTCGATCGAGGTCTTACCCCTCAGCAGACATGATAAGACATTTTCGACTGAATAAATTAGGTAGCTGTACTCTGAAAGAAAATTCAAAACAAAATGGGGTATAGACTGCATCTGTAGACGTGGTGTGGGCTTGAAGTAGATAGGTCAACGGGTCTTTCCTAAGGTTAACACATGTTTCGTCAGGCTACGGCCCGCATATCCCCACACCATCCGACCAATTACTGACCAGTTCCGTCCTTGGCATTGCAAAGCCCTTTTTGCGTTATGAGTTACAATTCCCACTTTTGCTTGGAAGTTTGAAAAAGATCAGGAGCGTCGGTGAATCTCATTCGGAAGACGGTGAATCTAATTTTAGAAGAAGGCCGGTGATGTTCAACAAATGCGCTGTTAAGACTGTGGGCACGGGAGCGAGGTACAATGGGGACATCAAATCGCAGTGAATCTGGACCGACACAAGAAGTAGAATAGGAGAGACTAAGCAAATGGAAAACGACACACGACTATGCTGCCATACCTTTCAGATACGCTCATTTCAAGGTCGAATACAGTATGTTTGCACTGTGGTGTGAAGCTGAAAATGAGCACAGATGGAAAGATGGAACGTCGAGAAACCATCCATTCGAAGTACAAAAAAGCAAAGATTTTAGTCGCCTCAAGTTTGCGATTGTGTTTGCTCAAGTAAACCTATAGAGATGTGAGCAACGGAACAACAGGGATCTCTATTGATAGTCCCTACTCCGGGTCTTGTGCCACGGATCCCCTAGAAGATGTTGGTTGGTGATGCGAGATGGCAATATAGCCATAGAGCATGCCGTCAGCATAGCCCAACAGCGTCACAGCTAAGATCCAAACAAACTATCTGGATTGGCCAGGCTAGATTGGTTTAGCATGCAAGCTACGCCAAAGACACGGGCCAAGCTATCGTACAATGTGGCTCCGCCAAGAACACGCTAATCTTTGCTCGGTGTATTGCATACGCCAACTCTCTCAATTTGTAAGTATTGGTAAGTTGTTGCGTAGGAAAGATACGGTATTCAGATGAAAAAAAAACAACCAAATTTCTGGTGCAGAAAGATCTACAGGATCTATATGGACCAAATTTTGACTAGGGAGGGCACTAGACTCCGGACTCCTGATTGCGACGTGAGGAAGTTGCCAAGGGATTCTGTAGAGGCATGCATAGTTTCATTTATGCAATGTTTAATCTTCTTTGTGAATTGTGTCATCTCAGTTGGGGGGGTCACCAAGAACTATGCAGTAGTGGACGGACAGATGAGCATCACTGTACCATTCATTAAAGTTCTTGGGAGCATCCACTCGCCGGTGTCTATTAAAACACATAGACACTTTAACTACAAACTTGTAGGTTCTGGCCACAGCCCAACATTGCCGAGGAAGTCTGGTGCCTGACAATTCAACAGTAGTGGGAACACTTACGTTGACTTCTGGGCCCTGTGGACCAAGGTAGAAGATGTTGGAGAATCCAGGGATAGCCATCCCTAGACAGGCAATAATACAGGGTTTCCAGAGATTAGTCAAATGCACGCCATTCTTGTCGGTGATGTTTAATCCGGATATAGAGGCACTAAAAGCCCTTAATCCAGTCGTGCAGATAATGACGTCAAATTCATGTTTGGTTGAGACACCATTGATATCTTCTCTGTGATCTTTACAAGGCCTTCTTTCCTGATGTCTACCACGCCCAAATTGAGTCTCTTTTCTTCGCTCGGGTCAGCTTCGCCTAGGACGATCATAGTTTGGTAGAAGGGCTAAGGAACCATCACTCGTGCGCTAGGGTAGCGATTGGAGTACCAAGACCACCCCCCCCCCCCGACGACCGTTGCAACGCTCAGTATCTCGCATATTGAATCCAATTTCCACCAACCTGGATCTATCGTTAGAGATGCCGTTATAGACTGAAAGAAGGGAAAGGCTAGAACAAAGAGTTAACAAGCGAAATCCTGCGAACCTAGCACCCACCACAATCGCGTCAAAGTCAGGAGATAGAATTAGACTACTAGGAGGAACAATGCAATGTAGAGGAAGTTGAAGTTTAAAAAAAAGGGGGGGGGTGGTTGAATGTTGAACACGCCCGGCCTCGTAGTGTGAAAGAAAAAGACCTATGTGGGATGCAAGGCCCTTAAGTAGCACCTACCTTACGACACAAGTAGCGTAGCCAGAGCATGATCGCTATATAGGTTAGTGCCAATTCATGTAAGCTGAATTTGAAAAACATTAGATAGCATCACCCTCTTCGAGCTTTTGTCTGGCGACTTTGTAAAGCTCCTTTGCCCGATATTATCACCCGTGGCTCAACCATAGAATAACAGCGACATGGTAATAGCAGTCAGTAACCCTGTATCTATGGTTCGAGGGGGTGATAATATCGGGCCAAAAACGCCTAAAAAGTGGGCGTTGATGCATTTACAGATTACATAAGATAGTTCCCAACAATCAGCGATACGAGTTCGTTAAAAGAAATATGCTACATCCATATATGTGTGCTTGTGAATTCAAAGCACTTTTATTGAGACCCGAACTGGATTCGGAGCTCCTTGACTTGTGAGGGCAACTGTTCTTCCGAATGCTATGATTTCGCATCAGGAGACCTCGTGTTGAGATGGCTCCATGTAGATCTTTAGGATTTTTGCTACTCTATACTTTCTATTTGTTCTTATGCCCTTTGTCACTTTTGTACATAGAAAAGTTCTCTGCACCGTTTGTGTTTTTCACTGCCTTCGTTAACGTCGAAAAAAGACCATCTAAGGAGCATCTAAAAAAAACAGGTAAATACACGTTGGTATGTTCTGAACTTGAAGATCCCTAGTTTTATCCCTGGCCAATTAGATGAATTGTGGTATTGTAGGCTTACGGCGACCGAAATAAGCGACCGACCTATTCTTGTAGATATCAACATCCGACCTACGTAATGGCGGAATTTAAGCGATCAAATGACATCATTTGACTCGGCCCATCGTCTCTGATTGGCAGCTCAAAAGTCGCTAAAGCTGTAACGCGAAAGTGACGCGAAAAGACGCGACCGGATTGGACGTGAAAATGAGGGGTTGACTACGTGGTCCAAGGAGAACGACGATTTTCCAACAAGTCACAGGGAAGTTTACTCTGTATGCTGGGCTAGAATGTCCTAGGGTGATCCACAGTAATCTGTGTGTTGTACAACACATAGTAGTCTTGGGCCACCGTGGTGTTTAGGTCAACAAGCATGATGGAACGAAACTGGGTTTTTAGGCGGTGCTGAGATACACGTATGTTCTCAAGAAACGTGTTCCATTTCACTTTTTTTTCATCTTCGTTAATCAAGACAAGAGCCATGCAGATGTATTAAACAGTCTCGTCAAAGGCATGCGGGGTGTAAGAGAAAACGAAAGAAAGGAGATGGGAGTGAACGGTAGATTGGTCGAGGGACAACAGTGACAAAGAACCCTCCTCTCCCCCCACCCCCCAAAAAAAAGAAAGACATAAGCTCTTGATGAATGAGAGGTAATGCAAGACATAATAGTGAAGCATTTGAGCGACAATAAAGACAACGCCTGAGGATGCAAGTCCGGGTTGGGGCTTCCCAGTCGAGGCTCAAGGCTGTCCTCGAATGAGCAAGCCTCCACACTGGGAAGGAGGTCAAATTACATAGGGGATGAACACAACGTGTACATAACATGATCATAAGAAAGTCGTCAAGGGGGTTAAGAGGGAGTTAAGGCAAAAAAATGAACAGAGAAGAGTAAAATGTAGAGAGAAACAGAAACGCTGGGATTCATGGGTGTAGTTCGCCGCCGAGTTGTAGCACCAGCCCGGTTTCCTTGGCCCGAAGTCGAGGGCTGGAGTTGCTCGGAGGAACCAGGGCATCAAAGTTCAAACGCTTTCTGTTGCTGGTAAGCGGAGTGCGAGCAGGATTGCCTGGAGTGCGGCCACCCCAGGTTGGTTGCGCCGGGCTAGGGGTCACATTCACGAAATCAGCGAAATTGAATTGCTGGTTTGGGGTGCTGATGTTGGCGAACATGCCTGCCCCCAGTGTAGGTGTCATGCCTGGCAGTATTGCGTGCTGGCTGGGAGGAGTGGAAGGTGGGAAGGCCTGATTTCCGTTGCCCCTTGCAACCCGCGCAGGGGTCGGGGAGTTTGCGAGATATAGAAGCAAATCTGCACCATCCTCGTGGTTCTGACGCTGGTTGTTCCGGGTCAATCGCAGGTGTTTTGGTGGAGGAGTTCGTGGAGGCGAGGAGCCTACAATTGGGCTCATGGTCTGGAAACTGTGCAGCGGCAGATCGGGATCGATCTCCTCTGACGGTCTGGGATATACAGGCGATGATATTTCTGGGATTGTAGCCTCGGACATGAAGGGAACTTGTGTACGTCGGCTCATGCCATATCGATTTATGCCAGGTGAGGATTCCGGCAGCCGGTAAGAACTTTTCCATGAGACCCGAAGTGCCTTCGCAGGACGTTCAGAATCAGAGTCAGACCGTAGGCGCTTTCGACTAGCAGAAAGCATGGGCTGCATGGCACGAGAATTGAAGGTCGCAGCATGTTTATTGCGGGCGGATCGAGGGAGCTCCTTGGAGTAGGTGGAAGCTTGGAGGGGAGGGGAGGTGAATGGGGTGTCGCAGCGACTGCGTGAGAACTCGGATGAAGAGTCGGAAGGCTTATCACTCTCGAGAACGGGTCGGCTCTCCTGCTGGTTCGGGTTCAGACCGTGCAGTCGACCGTGCTGGTACTTGAGTTTGGCAAGGCCCAATCGATCTTGCAGACTAAGAGAAACCTGCGTGAAGATAATCCAGGGTCAGTCCCACATCACCAATAATGTCATCTCGAAGCATTTAGAGGTAGTGGCAAGTATTTGGACTAGTAACCAAGCCTGTCTCTCAAAGGATCCGCTGTCTCTGTCTTTTTTTTTTTTTCTCCATCTCTTACCTGGGCGATATCAATTTTGCGGATCGTTTTTTCTGCCGAGCCAGGCTGCGAGAGAGGCATTGTGTCAGAAACCCCGGCAAAACAAGCGTGAGACCCGCAACAAATTAAAGACGTATTCGTATGTAGTGTCAAAGGTTGGGGGGGTTTGGGGGGGGGGGGGGGGGGGGGGGAGCGAAGGGCGAAAGGGCGAAAGG